CTCTCACTGCTTTAAAAGTCTATTATTCCAAACGGGTTGATGCAATTTTAAGGTTTCTCAGGATATACTTTTTTTTTTCCTACTTTTTCATCTTTTTACCTACAGTGAAACCCCAGGGCGGGGATCTGCAATTAGGAATCTGTAGAAACTGAACGGGAAGAACTTGCTGTATTATCTGCTCATTGGATTTTAAGAAACTTAAACTTTGTATTAAACCAAAGGATAAGCTAAACATAACTCAGGAATGGGCCTGTGAATCATAAAGTTCTTGTAATGGCTGTGGCCCCAAGGGACTGATAATTATCCATTTATTTATTTTTTTTATTTTACAGGTAAAGATATAGACAGTGAGAGAGAGAGAGAGAGAGAGAGAGAGAAAGGTCTTCCTTCCATTGGTTCACTCCCCCATTGGCCTCTGTGCCGATCTGAAGCCAGGAGCTAGGTGCCTCCTCCTGGTCTCCCAAGCAGGTGCAGGGGCCCAAGCACCTGGGCCATCCTCCACTGCTTCCCTGGGCCACAACAGAGAGCTGGACTGGAAGAGGAGCAACCAGGACTAGAACCTAGTGCCCATATGGGATGCCAGCGCTGCAGGCAGAGGATTAACCAAGTGAGCCACGGTGCTGGCCCCTCTCCCTTTATTTTTCTCTTATCCTTTTTAAATCTGTGTCAACACCTAGAATATACTGTTAGATTCTTGCTACTACATCACCAAAGACTATAAGAAATTCAGTGTGCACTTATACAGAAGTATGAGAGCCCCTGTTAAATGTTCAAGAAATGTGAAAGCCTGCTGTTAACCATAGCCTATCTTAAATATTTAAGTTCTATAAACTTATCAATGATTTAATTATAATAAAAGCAGAGGTAATGACTACTCAAATCTCATTGATTCCTAATTATGTTATTACATTTGACTACTGTCTGTGCTTTCAATGCTATTTAGTTCTACAGTATTTAGTTTGTGGAAAACCTATATAAGGGCCGGCAATGTGGCACAGCTGCTTAAGCCACTGCCTGCAATGTCAGCATATCCCATTGGGGGCCAATTCATGTCCTGGCTGCTCCACTTCCGATCCAGCTCCCTGCTAATGGCCTGGGAAAAGCAGTGGAAGATGGCCCAAGGGTTTGGGCCCCTGCCAGAAAATCTATATAATGGGAAAACTACTGAGCATCTCTTCCCAAAGTTGTGTTTGGAATGCTGGTGGCTTGAAACTGATCATGATAGGTAGACTTATTTTTTCCAAGTATATAAAAACATCCTCCAGGATACATTAAATTTGCAGTAAAAAACTTGTCTCAAAGGAATTACAATGTGCAGTCTTACTTAAAAGAGCTCACAACATAGTTGAGGCTATCAGCACATAAAAAGATAAAAAATACAAAAATGCCAAATATTATCAGAAGGTTCTACATAAAAGTTCAGAGATGAGAGAGGGTGACGCCCGTTTGAGTAGTCAGTGAAAATGTTGCGTAAGCTGGAGGCACCAGGTGAACAGAAGAGTGGTGGGAGTTCTGCACTGGAAAGATAAATGCAGAGAAAGAGATGAGGAAACTATAGGAACCCTTAGCAGACAAAATGGTACATGTGGGGAGGAGACTGGGACATGAGGCTGGACCAGACCGTGGTGGTCACTGGATCGTCATCGTACAGTGAACAGAGATTCTTTGAAGGATCTTTAGCATGAATCTGTCATTGAGGCAATTTGAAACGGTGAGGCCGCGAAGGAGAAAGTGAGGCAAGGCACTCTGTGAGACTGTGAATGGAGGTGACGGGAGTCCGGGTTAGGGGGCTGACAACTGGGAGAAGGCAGACGGAAATGATGTTCTGCAGGAGGAAATGATCCACAGGACTTGTTAACCTACTGAATGTGAGAGGAGCCAAGGAGAAAGGCAGGGAACCCACCTCCAAGCCCTGAGAGCAAACTGGCTTACTCACGTTGACTTAAGGCACAGACAGTAGAACATCTACGTGGAAATGCTCAATCCATTTGTGACTTGGAACCAGAACCTGGGCAGCACAAGCAGATGTGCAGGCAGATCCCACTGTATGCTCAGAGACATGCGAGATCCTTTACATATATCAGGGTGCCTAGGGCCATGTGGACATTTATAACATCATTCGTGGGCCATACAAAATTATCAACTTAAAAATTAGCCTGCTACAGATTTACTGAATTTCAAGTCCTGCCTGTTTTTGCCTTGGCAGGGCCAAACCAAATGATTTCACAGGCCTTATTCAGCCTGTGGGCCACAGGTTCCCCCCCACCCCCCTTCCAACTACTAAATTTAGGAGAGAAACTGGGCTGGAATTGGTAGTTTGGCTCCATCTTGCACAGATGTCAGTTAAATCGGGAGCATGGATAGTTTATCACACTTTCTTTTTGTCCTCTCATAACAAAAACAGTTTTCACAAAAAAGAGATGCAAATAAAAAGCACTAAATCTTATCACAGTATCACTCAAAACTGCTTGTTCGCTGCATCCATTCTAGATTTCAGGTAGTGACTGAGATAGCGAAGGAAAAACAGAACCGTGATTGTTTTTTATTCTCATCTCCCTTGAAGGAGAGGGACAGACAAAAACCATGAGTCAGGAAGGAACCAGAGGAAAGTATGGGGGAGTTTCCACCTGCTGAGATAAACAGGGATAAAAGTAAACTCTCCTTTAAAAAATAACAGTGTCTCTTACTGTTCACAATTAATTTATGGAAATCACTCGCATCATAAAACTTTCCATTTGCAAACCAGTTAGGAGTCACACAGTCCACCTTCACACTCCTCTGGCCCTGGAGCTCAAGGACAACAGGCACATTAACAGCGCTCACTTGACAGATGTCTCTTTAGCAATCACCAGTCTCTTCTATTTGCTGGAACTCCCTAGGGTGAGCTGGGCGGACCCCTTCCTTCCCACTAGCAGCCAGGAAGGTCAGGCTGCTCAATTTAAATGCCTAGGGCAAGGGGGAAACGGAGAAGCAATAACAAAAAGGAGCAGAGGGGCAGGGGAAGGGTAGACTGAACTTGCAAACTTAGACATCATCTAAGCATGCAGTAGTTATTTAAGAGATACTTTCATGTTACTCCTACTTTCTTTGACTCTACTAATGCAATACAGATGATGACTGAGCAATCACCTATTTAGTTACCAATATAACTACTTCCAGTGAACAGAAACAAATGTCCTCTTTGAGCTCAGTTACCACAGACACCAGTGGCAAACATCCCTTGTGCCTTAGGACCTGTGAAAGATATACACATTAAGGAGCTCCTGAGCCTTACAAACTTCCCTGGAATTTCTTCCAGAAATAGGAGAGGGCATGCTTGGAGGGTCTGAGACTAGGGCTTCCCTAAAGAGCACCCTGAGTAGTCCATCCTATTTAGAAGAATGAATTCACATCTAAACCAGCTATCTCAAGATCCACGTCTAACTGATATGTTACTGAGTAAGTATTCTCACACTTGTAGAAATTAGGCCATATACTTTCTTTCTTTCTTTCTTTTTTTTTTTATTTGACAGGTAGATTTAGACTGTGAGAGAGAGACAGAGAGAAAGGTCTTCCATTGGTTCACCCCCCAAATCGCTGCTATGGCTGGCGCTGCGCCATTCCAAATGCCAGGAGCCAGGTGCTTCTTCCTGGTCTCCCACGCGGGTGCAGGGCCCAAACACCTAGGCCATCCTCCACTGCCTTCCCAGGCCACAGCAGAGAGCTGGACTGGAAGAGGAGCCACTGGGACTAGAACCCGGCACCCATATGGGATGCCAGCACCACAGGCGGAGGATTAACCAAGTGAGCCGCGGCGCCGGCCCCCATATACTTTCATTTCATTTCATTTCATTTCATTTCATTTTATTTTATTTTATTTTTTGACAGGCAGAGTGGACAGTGAGAGAGACAGAGAGAAAGGTCTTCCTTTGCCGTTGGTTCACCCTCCAATGGCTGCCGCGGCCGGAGCACCACGCTGATCCGATGGCAGGAGCCAGGTACTTATCCTGGTCTCCCATAGGGTGCAGGGCCCAAGCACTTGGGCCATCCTCCACTGCACTCCCTGGCCACAGCAGAGAGCTGGCCTGGAAGAGGGGCAACCGGGACAGAATCCGGCGCCCCGACCGGGACTAGAACCCGGTGTGCCGGCGCCGCAAGGCGGAGGATTAGCCTAGTGAGTCGCGGCGCCGGCCTACACATGAACTTTTTGAAGACTCCTTGTATGCATGGCTTTCAAAATGTTTTCCTACAAAATAAACTTATCTTTTAACTCCATATTTCATGGACATTTTGAAGTGCTCTCAAATTATAATGACAAATAGTTATTCTCAGATTTGTGTTGGCCAAAACCACTTCTTTTGACAATGAATAACATTCATGTAATTATTTCCCCAAAACAACCCTGGCAGTAGGATAGCCACTAAAATGGTTCTGAAGTAACAGCTAGGCAAAAACGATATAGGATTGGCTGCCATGGGATAATGGATGTTTTCTATCATAGCTAAACAAAGACAGTTTACTTTCCCTGTTGCCTTTACACATTGAGTTCTCAGGGGTCTTAATTCCCTGATATTACAATTTTATTTATAAGACAATTCCTGAATCTGACAAATTTTATGACACACCAAAGAGCAGTCAGGGCTTGGCAGACCAGTGAGTGCCTTATATGAAGAAGTCTACTGCAGGTTCATAGGTGCCTCTCCGTCCTCATGAATGAGAGTGGAAGCAGAACATTCAAGTTCATGATGCTGGATCCCCTGCCAGTCTGGGCAGTTAAAAGACCACAGGCCTTCTCCCAGCACCTTGTCCCCTTTCTGTGCACTGCAATCTAGGAAAAGGGTCCTAAATAACAGACAAGCAAGAGTCGGATGTTCATGATACCACCAGGTGCATCTACAACAAACAATGCCTTTTCCCAGGGAATAAAATCAATCACAACAAAATTTCAAAATTAATGAGCAGTCCCATCCCTTCTTAAAGGTTCAGTACTGACGAAATAACAAAATACACTCTTCTCTTACCTGCCTACTCTCCCTCTGGGAGGATGTGGAAGAGGAGGCACTTCTATGGGTTGGCGTGGATGTTTTATGAGCAGGGGATACGGCCTTCTCATCTGAACTCATGGCTGCAACCGGCTTCTAGTTACGTGCACTCAAGACCATCCCAGTCCTCTCTCAGGTCCGCACAGCAGGAGGGAGATGCCTGTTCAGCCTCATTCCATTTCAAAAATCACATTTGACTAGGAAGGAGCAGGCAAATATTGAGGGTGTCCACTCCACCTAAATGCAAAATAAACAGAAAAGCCTCATGTAAGTGAAAGAGACGAATATTTACAAAGAAGAAGATGCACATGTGAATGGATGGGCCTGGAAGTCAGAGCTGAGATCTGCTGGATGAGGAGTTAACTGGGTACCCGGGTGTCCAACAAGGCATGATCAAGGCAGTAATGGCGGCCAATCTAATTACAGCAGAGAGACGGTGACACAATGGCCCAGGAAACACAAAGGCCAGCTCCTGTGGGGCCTCGTTGGCTGTGATGGTCTAAATGTGTCCCTTGAAATTAATATTTTAGAAATTTAATCTCCAATGCAACAATATTGGGAGGTAGCGTATAATGGGGTGATGAGGGCCTCATGCTCAAAAATGGATTACTGCCAGTATAAATAGGAGTGAGGGAATGGGTTCTGTCTCCTCTGTTCCACTGCCACGGAAGCACATGGTATTTCTCCCTTCCAGGGGTTACTATGGTCAAGGTGCCATCTTGGAATCAGAAAGGCCTGGCCCTCACTTACAAGCAATTTGATCTTGGCCTCCCCAAATTTATAAAGAATGTATGTTTTTGGGACTGGCATTGTGGCATAACAGGCTAAGCTGCCACGTGTGACGCCAGCATCCCATATGCGCGTCAGTTTGAGTCCTGGCTGCTACACTTCTGACCCATCTCCCTGCTAGCATGCCTGGGAAGACAGCAGAAAATGGTCCAAGTATCTGGGTCATGGCCCCAACATGAGAACCCAGATGGAGTTCTAGGCTCCTGGTATCAGCCTGGAGCAGCCCCGACCATCGCAGCCATTTGGGAAGTGAAACCAAGATTTATCACTGTGACTGCATGGCAGTGGTGGGAAAGGCAGGCTAAGGAAGGCTCTCAGGTATTTAGTGTTCTAGAGAAGGTTAAAGGAAATTCTAGGATTGATGGGAAGGTCATGACATTGTTTTAGGTATGATGAACCTGAGATTTTATTGAGATTTCAAATGGGAAAGACTCTTTGAAATGCAGATCTAGAGCTCATATTATATAAGCTGGAGACATAAATCTTTAATAGATTATGTTAATGACACAGATATTTATGTATAATCCAAGTAAATTAAATTTTACATAGTTCTATGCTTTAAATCTGTAACATTATGTTAATTAATTTTGTGATCATGGCCATGCAGATCAAAAGTTTAAAGATCACTTGGTTAAGCAAAATATTTGAAAGAGCAATCCCAACAACTAGAGGGGGATTTTCATAAACTGAGAACACTGGGTATGCTAGTAAATAGAACTGGTTACCCTTAAGATTCCAACCTTCAGGGCTGGCATCATGGCACAGTGGGTTAAGCTGCCACATATGAAGCTACCATCCAATAATGAAGTGCTTGTTGGAGTCCTGGTTGCTCTGCTTCTAATCTAGCTCCTGCTAATGTGCCTGGGAAGGCAAAGGAAGATGCCCCAAGTACTTGGGCCCCTGACATCCATGTGGGAGACCCAGATGGTGCTCTGGGCTCTTGGCATCAGCTGGCCCAGCACTGGCTATTACAGCCATTTGGGGAGTTAACCAGTGGATGGAAGATGTCTTTCTGTCTGTCTCTGTCTCTCTGCTCCTCTCCACCCCTGCCATTCTACCTTTCAAAGAAAAAACCACATCTTTTTTTTTTTTTTTTTTTTTTTTTTTTTGAACGGCAGAGTGGACAGTGAGAGAGAGAGACAGAGAGAAAGGTCTTCCTTTGGCGTTGGTTCACCCTCCAATGGCCGCCGCTGCAGCCGGCGCACCGCGCTGATCCTGGCAGGAGCCAGGAGCCAGGTGCTTTTCCTGGTCTCCCATGGGGTGCAGGGCCCAAGCACCTGGGCCATCCTCCACTGCACTCCCTGGCCATAGCAGAGAGCTGGCCTGGAAGAGGGGCAACCGGGACAGAATCCGGCGCCCCAACCGGGACTAGAACCCGGTGTGCCGGCGCCGCAAGGTGGAGGATTAGCCTATTGAGCCACGGCGCCGGCTAAAACCACATCTTTTTAAAATAAAGATTTCAACTTTCACTGTCACCACAGACAAAAATAAAAGCTACCTACCCCCAAACTCGGAGACTCTCTCTTAAAACTAGCCTTTGAACAAAAAGAAATGTAAAGAGCATTAGAATTCTTTTGTTGGCTAGAAAGTAAGTTTCATTTAGTATTGGCAAAAGGTAGTAACAAGACAACACTTGACAATGATCATCTAATCTTTTCGGTTTGTGAAGGCAGCTTAATAAGTGTGAGTCAAGTTTCTGAAGCCAAGCTCTGGTGCCAGTAAACAGAAAGCAAGAACATGGCTCCGATTCTTGATTGGAAGGAGTCCACATTTGTCTGAGATGTTTTAGAAGCAGATGCAGACACTAGAGCCAACAGGACAGTAGTTCTGTGATGTGTTCAAGTGCCCCCAAGGGACGAGGCTGCAGCAATCCAACTCATTAAACCGTTATCCATTTAGGAGTAAATTCAATACAAGCCACACTTCCTTTGTTGGACTTCTTGTTTATTTATCTTTAATTGCATCCAACTGCACTTTCCTCATTAACACCAATCCTAACACCTTGATTTTTGTTTTAATTGGAAATTACACGTTCAGGGTAACTAGCGTGTGGTGAAAAAGCAACATTTTATTTGAATTACGTTATGAGTATGTTGAACAATATCAAAAGAATAGTTATGAGATTTAATTCATTTCATGATTTGATTTTGTCATTTCTATTTTTTATATTTTTTTAAACAGAAAGTTCTAAGTGCTAATATAAAGTTGAATGAGATGGCTTTTAAAGATCATCCCAAATGACTACAAACAAATATATGATCCCTTTCACTTGCTCTGTTTCAAAATGTATTACAAAAGTAAATCTAGAGCCGGCGCTGCGGCTCACTAGGCTAATCCTCCGCCTTGCGGCACCGGCACACCGGGTTCTAGTCCCGGTCGGGGCGCCGGATTCTGTCCCGGTTGCCCCTCTTCCAGGCCAGCTCTCTGCTGTGGCCAGGGAGTGCAGTGGAGGATGGCCCAAGTGCTTGGGCCCTGCACCCCATGGGAGACCAGGAGAAGCACCTGGCTCCTGCCTTTGGATCAGTGCGATGCGCCGGCCACAGCATGCCGGCCGCGGCGGCCATTGGATTGTGAACCAATGGCAAAGGAAGACCTTTCTCTCTGTCTCTCTCTCTCTCACTGTCCACTCTACCTGTCCAAAAAAAAAAAAAAAAAAAGTAAATCTATACTCTGCTATAAGATTATACCTAATTACTCCTAGAATACAAGAATTGCTATGAAATAAAAAAATACTTATTTCTTCTTTGTTGAAGCACATTTTCAAAACTGTTGAATTATATTCTGAACCAAAGAAAGCCCATACATTTTAAAGTCAACACCAACATAATTACTATATCTACAAAGAAAAGTATTGTGGCCTAAACAGCAATATGAGAACCGAACACTTAATTTTCCTATTGCTTCCTTCCTTCCTATCAGTAGAGATGATATAAGTGTTGCTAACATTTGCTAAGTGACATAAATTCAGATTTATGACTCAGGGATCTAATTAAAGAGAGGTGTGGGGAAGACTTCTAGACTTTGCTGTTCATAGTCATCATAAACTCTATGTATCCAGAAAAACATTTGAAATTTAGGACTACTCAGCCTGGACTAATTTGTGATGTTATCACAAACAAGCTGAAAATCTCAGGGGAGACCTGGACTGAATTCCAGGCTCCTGCCCTCTGGGCTGGCCCAACCCCAGCTACTGCAGGCACCTAGGGAGTGAGCCAGTAAAGAGAAAATCTCTAACTTTCCAATAAGTAAAAAATAAATTTAAAACTTATCTTCTCCATTTTTAGCTGTTTGACTTTTCAATAACTTTTTTGAAGTTTCCTCATAGTTATCCCAATCATATCATTTACTATAAAAACTATAGGAAAAGCTTAAACATACATATTATAATACTTGGATTCATTTCTAGTTTCATCACTTAGAGATAACCTTTAACAATTCTGGTTCTACTTCAACCCAAATAGGAGAGTAACACTCATATTATCGCAATAGGCTTTTTCCCATTGACTGTATCACTAACTGCCTTCACTGTAAACACAGAAATTTTGACATCAATTTTTTAAAAGATTTATTTTATTTATTTGAAATACAGAGTTACAGAGAGAGGTAGAGACAGACAGAGAGGTCTTCCATCTGCTAGTTCACTCCCCAGATGGCCGCAATGGCCAGAATTGTGCTCATCCGAAGCTAGGAGCCAGGAGCTTCTTTTGGGTCTCCCACTTGGGAGTAGGGGCCCAAGGACTTGGGCCATCTTCTACTGCTATCCCAGGCCATAGCAGAGAGCTGGATCAGAAGAGGAGCAGCCGGTACGAGAACTGGTGCCCAATATGGAATGCTGGCGTTTCAGGCCAGAGCTTTAACCCACTGCGCCACAGCGCCAGCCCGAACAACAATCTTTACCATTACAGTTAAAACCACCACACACAATACAGTTAACCATCTTCTTCTATTATTACATTCATTTTGTATTCAGTGTATTTTGAAACAATGAGATTTATCTCAAAAGATGTCATCACAGATATATATTAACTTATGATCTTTATTAGAATGATTTTCTGCGTTCAGTACTTTCTTGCTCTATTTCATGTCATCTTCTCTTTTTGTTTGCAAGTGATTAATGAAACTATCCTTGTACAATTAAATTTCCTATATTATTTTTATTGTGATATTCCTCAAGTAATGATCAGGATGAATTGTTAAGAAAATATAATTTTAATAATACATGTCCAATTTCTATCTAATTTTAGAACCAATAGTTGGCTGGCCCATGCCAAATCATTTTATTGTATCTTTTTTTATTTCTTCTTTGTTCCTTTTAATTTTTGATGGCTTTTCCTTTATAATCTGCCTTTGTGGTCTACTGACTCCTGTATGGCTTTCATTTACTTTTACATCTGCCAGTAGCTTGAAAGCTGTAATTCCCCTTTAAACATTCTGTTTCCCATTAGGTT